CTCGAATGCCACGCGATCCGGAAGCATGCTTGCAGACTCGGGACTATGAGCAAGCACTGGGGGCGGCGCAATTAGTATATAGAAATATCTCAGGGACGTCGTAAACTTACGTGGATCAACGGTTACGCATACTGAGCAGGCTATGGAGCGTATTAACTCGCAGTTCCGCCAGTCAGAATATAAGTAATGACGTACCGAAGTTCCTGATCATAGAGCAGCGTCGTTGTTACCGGTCCGCCGCGCATATAGCCTGTTTGTCGCAAGTTAGCTGAGGTGAAGGGCGAGACACGGGACTTAGGAAGTGATACTCACGTACCATGCAACTGGATATGGGGTAGTGTAAGCGTTGGCTTACCCGCATATAGTCACCTTGTACATATGTTAATGCCAGATTTGAAGCAACCAAAGAAGCAGACGCACCCGGAGTCGACCAGGCGATGAGGGACACGGCGTCGACGAGTGAACTTGAATGAAGTTGCACGAGAGATTTGACTAAGGCGACCCAGCTGAGGACAGACGAGGCAAGTCCGGAGCGCAAGCGATGGAGGGGGTAAGAGGAAGAGGGGCAATGAGGGAAGGACAGCCCGGCGGGAGGCTTATGTAGCAGTCGAAATGGAAGACGGGGCGGGATATGAATAACTGACATCTTGGTGTCTCAAAAAGGTCCTCTGGCGGCTGGATTTGGATATTGCTGGTGTTCGCTCGTGGAGGTGATGTCTGAAGGGGTGAAGGAGGACCCTCGGAAACCCGCAAAGTACTCCTGGGCATTTGGGAGCTCATGGAAGCGCTTGGGAGCGCTCGCCAACCTAGGCCGGGCGCCAAATCCTTGGGAGCGTCGTGCGGTTTCGCTGATGATTCCGGTGCTCGTTGCGCAGAAGAGAAATAATGTTATACGCGTATACGGTGACTGAGAGCACAAAGCGTGAGTCTGGTGAGCAGTTGAGCGCGGATGCTCTGCCAGTTTCTACGAGCTCGTTGCGTTCACATAAGGTGCGCAGACGTTGGGGTCGTTCACCTTCGAGGGATCTTTTGTCAAGAAGCCTCGTTTGACACCCTCTAGATAGGACCTGCAAAATTCACATGAGCTTACAACTGCATCTGGATCTCAATAGTCTACGCACCACTGCCGTGCGAGGTCACCGGCCTGCTGAGATATTTCGACTTTGAAGTTCCAGAACTGCGACGAATGTTTGAGCAACGTCCTTCGGGATTAGACTTGCAGTACTCACAACCCATCCCTTGCCCTTGCTATAGGCGAGCTTTTGAGCATCAGCCCACTTGAAGAGGAAGTCGTCTGTCGCGGTAAACTGCGTCGGCAAGCCCCATTCGCCGAACCAGAGCGGACTGTTTCCAAGGGCAGCATCATTTGCGACGCGGTTCAGGTTGCAGATACTCTCGAGGTAAGCGTCGGGGTTAGCATCGGCGACACCCTGAAATGGAGTGAGACATCATTCATAGAAGAAAGGGTAGATAGACTTACGCCGAAACTATAGTACAGGTGGTTGTCATACCCTTGCGGCCCGATCTGAGCGTCAGCTGGGTTAGCGGGGTTGTTGAACTGCCAGTTGATGTCCATGAAGCTGATCCCGTATGTGAGTTCAAGTCTCTCCGTTATGTGAGACTGACTGACTTTGCGACTAGAGGCTGCCGGGTGTTGCGTAAGGGCGATGCCGCCGAGTTAAAGTTGAATATGGAGGAGATGGCAAGTTCAAAGCCAAGTTCAACGAGAATGGGCACCGCCTCCGTGAGTGCAGACTTGACCTCTGAGTTGAAGATGTTGCTCCCGCCTACAGTCGCAGTGATTGCGGAGGTGAAGTTCGAGGTGTGCAGCTGGACGTCGAGGGACATTCCGGGGACGGGGATGCCGAGAATCAGTTCCACGGCGCGGATAACCTGAACAAAGTTCTTCTGGACTACGAAGGATGAGTACGATGTATATAAGGTCGAGGCACTACGAGCACTTACAATCGCCGTATCCTGGAGTCTGAGTGGCGTCCATGATAGGTTCGTTGACTGCTTCAATAGCAAAGACGGAACCGAATGAAGGATCCAGATGCGAGAGGGCAGTCATAACGGCGGTCCACACTAGTGCACGATGGTAGTTGTACTCCGTCTGCGAGTGATATCAATACACACTACGGAACGACTAGATGTTCTCAGACACGCACGTAAAACTCGACATCCGAAGTGCAATGGCCTGTGAACGATTGCCCGGGCGTCTGTACGCCGGGAGGAGCGTGGTGGTCCAGGATAGCCTGGATTCCTGCATCCTTGAGCATCTGCAGTCCCCGTTGCTGCAGGTACGCCCATTGAAGTCAGAAATACACGCAGTGAACGAGTGCGATGACTTACGAGATGCTGGATGCCTCCGCGAGGGTAAAACTCCGTCTTGCGATCAACGAGTCTTTCAACTATCCAGTAACCGAGCTACATGGGACGATCAGGTGAGAATCGAACTAGAAAAATGCAGTAGAATTCGATAACGTACCGGTACTCGGACGGTGTTGATACCTGCTGCACGCAGCTGGTTCACGTCGTCTTGAGTGAACCACGTCGACCTAGGAACATCTTAGCATTTTACATTGTATATATATCGCAAAAGATAACGCACCAGTGCTTGTCAAATAGGCTGTCCACGGTCTTGGGGTACGCTTGCGCAAAGGTACTAGTCAAACCTCGGATCAATGTGGATGCAAAACACTTGGTGTCTACCGGGCTTACAATTCGGACCCGATACAGTCCCCGCAGGAGCTGCATGACTGTCCACCCATAGCGGCCCATTCTAGACGAGCTGTGGTTAGCGGTCGGAGGAATCACAGAACAAGACGCCGACGTACCCGCCGGGAGCATCCATGGCTCTAGGACGAGCCTGTCCAAAAGCCCGATCTTAATCTCTTGACAGAACATGGAACAGTCGAGAGTCGCTCACCAAGAACCAAGATTAACGCCATAGATCTTGTCAGGTATGCCTGCGGCCGCATAACGCAGGCACGACGCAGCGAGGATACCGACCGCCAGCAAGGACCGCATTAGACTGGATGCGCGAGAAAAATGGGGGTTACGCCAGAAAAACTAGCGTGCGGCGCCGGCATAGAGCCCTGTCCATTATATACCGCCCCTCTGCATCCCTCCGTGTCAGGTATAGTCGGGCGTGCGGCTCGGTTCCAGGCGGGGAACATGACAGGAGATGGGCCGCTGCGAGCCTAACGCATCTGCCTCCGGTCTTCTATCAGAGCAGGGAGCGCGTGGCACGGAGGGCGGCGCCGGGCGTCGCGCGCGTTGGTGAGCATATCGAACGCGAGGGGATGACACGAGAATGCGGTATGAGCCAAGTTTGAGCAGGACGCGCGCGCGACGGTGTGGCAGGAGAGTCACGTCGCGCGCGCGCGTGTCCGGCCTCCGCGTCAAGTGACCCGCGCGCCGTCCTCCGTACCACCATCGTCGCCCACCGCTTGTACTGCTGTTACGAGAACGGCGAGCGCGATGTCTTGCTGCACCTGTCTAGGCTCTGTTCTCTGCGTTCTGGAATGCCGTGAAATCTCCGCCAGCCGTCGTAGGATGCAGAGGACGCGGACGCCGTCGCCGGGAATGCGGCTCTCCGCTCGTCAGCTGAGGGGTGGACTGTCGCGCTGGCGGACGAGAAAGGACGGCGAGGTGCTCTGTCGGGTGGTCAAGGCATCCCCATATACCTTGTGCGTGCCAGGTACGTTTAATGTGCAGGTCTTCTACGCGTGAGAGGAGAGCGCAATACATCGGCGGACGGGATTAGGTCCGTCTCTCACCTGGCTTCTGCACATCGTCTTCTTCGGGCGCGTGGTGCATGATAGCCATCGACTCTGATATGCTCGAAGAAGATACGATACAGCCAGCTCGGCGTGTCTTCCTGGGTTATCGTTGACACGGCTCGTCGATGTACTCACCATCTCAGGCTGAGGCTCGCAAGCGCCCAGCATTCTACCGTTCCTGCACCCTCTCTCCAGGTGCCAGCGCTCCAGCGCTCTAGCATTCGATTGTACGGCTCTAGCAATGGAACGCGGCCACCGCTACAGGGTCCCATTCCCACCCGATACCTGCCTCGACATCAGGTCCCGCATACCGGTTTCCGACCTGCGCACGTACTGCGTCTACCACACTCGCCCCTCCATCGGGACGCTTTACGACTCCAAGCAGGACGCGAACTACTTCTAGGAGCGCCTGGTGGCACTGCTGCCTGAGTGCGGTCTAGGACGATCTCCACAACGAAAAGTCACTGGTCATACCGGAAGAGAATCACCCTCGACGCCATCGCGCGCTACTGCACGTACGCTGAGTGCGGCGCGGGCCTCCGCGAATACAACAGTGAGTGCACCACGGCTAGGACCTCCTGTCGGGACGCGCGCTGAATGCAAACATCCCAGTTGAAGGAGACCACATGTATCACCATCCACCATCCCGCACCCACTGGGTCGCCTAAGCCGCCCTGTCCATAGATGGTCCTCGCTCACCGAGTCAAGCACACACCCAAGTATCATCGCGCGCTGCTGGCGGTCGATGTTGAGTAAGCGCGCCATGTAAAGCACGACGTCGTGACGACCTGAACTATTTGTGAGGAGTACTAAGTAGCGTCCCGCATGGGACGGCGAGTACGAGCAGCCCAGCATGTTACTGAATGATCATCTACCAGTGTACCGCATATTCGCCGTGGACTTCCTTGCGAAAGAAACCCGAACAGGCACCTTCAGAGGCTACGAGACACCGTATTTCTGGTCAGCACTGAATGTCCATTTACGACGTCATTTTGACAGTCTATGCCGAGCACGCCACATACCATCCTAATACATACCATGAGCCTCTTTCCTGACGCGAGCATTATATTGTGCAGCATCGACGAGCGATACGCATCGACAGATATCGGGCGCTCGATCGAGGAGTACCCTGAGGGGTACGCCCATACCCTCCCCGCGGTTCGGAGGCGACCGCCGGCTTGTACTTCGACGCTGAGCTATGAGCTATCCCATAACATTCTGGTGAGTATATGCTTGCGTACACGCTATCAAGGGCTGACCAGATACGCACAAAGAGACTCACACTTGGGAAACTCGCTCGGCTCTCTCTCTCTGGATGGCTATTAATGCTCGGCAACGTGAACGCTGAGGCAGAGCGAAAAGCTCCACATCCGGTTCCATGCATATCGCATATGATACAGTGCCTAAAACCCCTAACAAAACATAACCAACACCCATCTCCCCCACATCAGCATCCCATCTCAACGCCGTTATACGGCCCATCGTGGTTGCTCTCATCACCCTCGAAGATGTTCGGCACGTCCCCGACGGTGCACTGGTCGCTCGAGTTATCCTGCCCGGGGCACGCGACCCACGCATTCGAGTCCTGGATGTGCAGCTCGCCGGAGGGGTGATGGAAGCCAAGGAACATCCCCGGCAGGATCGGTACGAAGTCCTCCTTGTTGTTGATGTGCGTGACCGAGATCGGCTGCGCGTCGACGTAGTTCGCGAACGCCTGGTTCCCGACGCGAGGGAGGCCGTACCCGATGAACGACACCTTCGCAGTGGGAATGTGCAGCGGCAGGAAAAGCGCATCGAGCAGCGATATCGCGGCGCCTGGTGCGAGCAGCTGGTCAGTTGGCGATGTTGGTGCGCGAGAGGCTGTGAGAGAACGCACCGAGCGAGTGGCCGGTGGTAACGATGTTGTTCGTCCCGTACGTGCTCATTGCCTGCTGCACGGCTTGCAGCACCGCGTTCGCCGTGCTGTGCTTTGGTGAGTAACTACTCGACGAACCATGACACAAAGCAACTCACTCGGCCTGGGCGCCAGCGAACCCGCTGTGCGCCTCGACTGACGAGCTAACACCAGGGAACAACGTAGAGCTCAGCGTAGTTTTGTCGATGCTTGCATCCTCGATCAAAGGCAAGCTAGCAAGCAATATCCAAAGTTAGCCCCAAGTTAAGCGTACATGTGCCTCAATTTACTCACATCTCACTGGTGTCCGTACCCTGGTGCGAGACAACCACCGTATTGAGGTCGGGATCAAAACCGACAAACCCTGTGCGTATAGCGTTCTGTCAAACTCTCTCCCCACAAAGCGACTGACCGGGTGTGGACTTACAGAACTGAACCTTGTCCCCGTCCCCTCCCGCCGCTACGGGCTTGAAGCTAGGGTTCGCGAGGCAGTTTGTGCCGCAAGTCCAGGTGAGCGTCTTGGACGCCGCACAGTAGCCTGCGCTCGCGAAAAACGAGTATGGCGTGAACGAGTTGATCTCGGTGGCGGAGACCGTCGTGATCGACTGCCGCCGCACGATCTCCGCGGCCTCCGGGATGGATGCCGGTGCCGCTGACGCAAAGTGGCAAAGCCCAAGACCGACCAAAGCGGCCTTGAGCCACAGACTACGGGACGCGAAGGACATGGTGTCGACTGGGGTGGGCAGGCGTGGCACGAAGTGGGTGCAGCGAGTAGAACGCGGGTGCGAGTGCGGGTGCTAGTGCGGACGCCCGTTACCGGCAGGCAGAGCGCGGACTGCAGTTCTTATCCGAAAGGGTGAGCGAACGAACGTTGTGGTACCAGCAGGGATGATTCTTATACCGCGGACGCTAGCAGCGCTTCCCTGCCCTGTCACGCACATGCGTCGATCTATCTGTCGGTCGCGCGGGGCTGCATCGTCCGACGACCACGCGGTGCTGTCTGCGCCCTTGTGCGTTTCTTCGCGCCCATGTCATTGTTGCAGGCGTATCGTGGGCTTGTCGGCATGGCGTGAAACCTATCTCCCCGGTGGTAGGCGACGCGAACGTGATTGAACCTGCCATCCGTGGTGCAGCCTGTGCGGATGGGTGTCGCGGCAACGACGACAGATGCCTCACAGCCGTATGGCCTGACAGACGATGCTGCAGCGCTTGTACCGTCGGGCCAAAATAGAGTCTGATCCGTGTCCCGTACATCGACGTCAGTTGACCTCCGTTAGAATTCGTATCAGAGTTTGGAGGAGCTTGCAAGGGTCCGAGAAGAACATTCACCAAACGTGCCCAACTTGCGCCGCTCAGGGGAAGAGCGTGTTGAATTCCGTTGTGATACCCGGGCTACTGATCCTATCGGTATACATATGTCAGCTGCGCTTCACTAATATTAGTAGAGCTATGCAACAAAGTGGAGAGACCTGTCATCGTACGTCTCAACGGCCGTGTGTAGCATCCTATTCTGGCCAGTGATTGCGTGCAAGGTGTGGAGCAATCCCATGTCAAAAAAATAGAAGGCCACCGGCTTCCCAACTCTGCGGTCCTAGATCGGCCGCAGCTCACCGGTGCACTCATACGGCCGGGCGGCGAGGACTCCTGGAATTTTGAGTATTCGCCCAACACTCAAGTGCTCAACATTGATATCGAGGCTGTGGTGCTCCTCAGGCAGTGTAACGGTGGGCTGTGTATCTATAACTCGTGTCAGAAGTCACCACAGGCACTGACATCGCTGGCAAGCAAGGTGAGGTCAACGCTAAAGTCGTTCTATTTCTAATGCGCAGAGCATGGTTCGGTACTACCCACCTGCTAGCATGTCGCTATCATTAGCTACGAGCCGAGGCACGTATCTCCAAGGAATAGCACGCACGTGGTCATATGTATGTTGCGCGATAGTAGGTGAGATGCTCACCATTGCCAAACCACGCACGTACAAAACGGGCGTCGTCCTGCCGACGTACGGGCTGCACAAGGGACAACAGTGAATGGATCAGTGCAAACACATGCATCTTGCTCTCGGTAAGTATAGGTAACCCGTCCCCGGTTTGAAGTACACATAGCTTGATAGAATTGTGGTCGAGCGTGGCAATAGAGGAAGTCGCCTGACAGCGGGCTGTCCGGTCGCTGTCTCGGGTAAGCATATGAGGCTGCAAATATGACGGACACCTTGTGGACGACGCACCCTCATGATCATTGACGTACGGGGCAAGTGCAGAACGATTTGGACTAAGAAAGCGTTATGGACTCACACGTATACACGGAGGTATGCTTCTCGTGGGTATGTGGCAGGCTGTAGAGGCCCTGGACTGAGCGAAATCAACTGTCAGTGTTCACTGAGTGTCAGTTTTCCATCAACACTAAGCACAGGGGGATCGTCGCCGCACCTACAGAGTAAGCATCGGAGTTGAGTCCGGTAGCTTGGTTGACTGAGGCAACAGTCAGTTTGCGATACGTTACTGTACTGCGCAGTAGCAGGGACCAGGCGTACAGTGCAACAGAAGTCCTATGTATGTCGATCACCGTGCGCACCATCAAGCTTTAGCTTAGACTCAAGCTTAGAGTGCTATATAGCTGTGCACGCGTATTTTGGGCCCCACTTCCCACATGAGTGCATACGGGCAGAACACGAGCCATTCCTGCGACTTGGCGTGTGTGCAGGAGTGGGAGACCCAGTCTGGTGAAGTGATCTGACCACTTTCGAATTGCAGAAGGACTCGCCGAAGCTTGGCTCAAATGTCCAACCTTGGGATCCGCCATTGGCAGTGGCATTACTCTTTGCGGATCGGTGACACTATTTGCAGGGGAAACGAGGATCAGATACAGATAAATTACACGAGTGCGAGTGGGGAGGTGATAACCAAGATACACGATGTTGTGCGTATAGCCACTCGGTGAGAAACGCGATGGGATACCCTCCCGCCTTCTACAACATCCGCATAACCCCGGATGAAAGCCCCTCGTCACTTGACGGACGTGCTTGTCAGCCGGAGATTCCACGGGGAGTCCATGCCGACTGTTGCGGATGCTGAAGGCTTCGGCTACCCTCGTGCTGATCCTCGCGTTGACGTGTATAGAGAACAGCGGGTGACGAGACAAGGCCTTCTGCTCGATTACAGGCGGGATTTGCGACAACGACAGCCTGGCAAGGCTCAAGTCTTGTAGCCTCTACTTGAGGTAAAACATGATGTTGTACGCCCCGTTTTGCAGCTGGGTGCAGTCGACGACTTTGACCTCCTTGACGTAGCTGGTGAACGCAAAGTGCATGAGCAAGAAGCTTCATAACGACGCCCGTGGACTTACCAGGTCTGCAAGACGTCGCCAAGAGTGCGAAGCCGATCAAGCGTTCCCCGAACGCCGCGGTATGAAAGCGCGTGCAGGGCGCAATGTTCGTGGTCCTCCAGGTACTCCAGCAGCTCGCCCACGCGCAATGGCTCGGCGATGCTAGCATATACTCAGCGATTGCTCAGCGTTCGCGATACTGCGCATAAATACTCACTCGGCTTGGATGGCGCGCAGGACATCGTGGACGGTGATCGCGTAGTCGCTCTGGAGCTTCGAGCTTCGCAGCTCTCGACCCCAGTCGCCATCGGCGACACAGTGCTTTATTCCGGGGAACGTGGCATAGCTTCGCGCGCACAAAGGATGCACTGCACAAGACACATGTGAGCACTTCGGGTGGCGTAGCCAATCGCGAGTGTATGCGTACGTTTCTTGTCTGCTTCCGGTGCCAAGTCTCCGTAGTAGTCCCGACGCAAGAGTTTGTTGGTCTCGATAGCAGTCGTCTCGCCTGAAGCGGCCGCTTTGTGAGTGCGCAAGGCGCATTCACGCATCATGTCACCTGAGACAGTGTCAGCTTCATGCAACGCGAATGAAGAACAAAGAGACTCACGGTTGCGCTGGAGGAGCACCTCGCCGCACGGGTGCTTCGACGAGCCCTCGCAGAACCCGTCGACGGTGATGCATTCCACCGCGATGTCCTTCCACGAGAGGACGGACGGGTGTTCGTCCGGGAACCTGCCGATGGCGCACATCGTGCAGACGTCCTCCCAGAACGCATCGGGGTCGGCGACCGTGTCATAGAGTGCAGCGAAGCTAGGCGCGGCCTGGTAGAAAGAGACATGCGTGCGCATGTCGGAGAGCGGGATAGCGTCCTTGACGAGGAGCCATATCTCGGGTGGGAGGGTGTTCATTGCCATAGCGGATGTCGCGGGAGGTGAATGGGGGATGCATGGGTGGCAGGCCGGGTATTTGAGGGAACAAAGCCGCCGCGCGGTGGAGAAGCCATTGGAGAGCACATCGTCGTGGGCGCGCGGGATAGGGCCAGCTCGGAGTCGAAGCCTCGGACTTCGTCCGAGACTGCAGCGGGCTTGGCTGCACGTGCGGGCGTGGGAAGGGCGGCGATGACGCGGGCGCGGTGCGGCTGGCACGGTCCTCGACTCTCTCCGACCCACCACGTCGCACAGACTGGCCCCCTCCGCGCGCAATCTTCAGGCTGTTCGGTATTCCCCATATCTTCCTCGCAACCAGCACCACCCTTGAACCCAAACAGCTGATTCCGGTCTCTCTTTCGGCGCTACCCTCCGAACTCCGTAGCTCGCTCTGCAGCATGATCCTTCTTTCTTCTCTTTTGCTTACAAACAAAGACTTCAGCCTTCTGTTCACACCGCCGTCTATAAAGTCGACGACGTCACTGGCTACAAAACTTGGCACTGTCTTCGAGCACTCGTGCTACACATCAACCGCAGGTTCTTCCAGGACCGCGACTTGGCCAGGCTGGTGCGTTCTTTCCGTAACGCGGACCCTGCGGCTCACCTGGGCTTGTCGAGGGCTTGTCACTGTCAGGTCCGTTCATTACAGCGCCTCTGCGGTATGATCCCAGTTCTATCGAGCTTCGCGTGTTCTCTATCATGTTGCCAAAAATATGCGTTATAGATTTGTTGCACAGCGCCATGCTCTCGTCGCCGAGACCTTCTTTACCCTGCCATGGTGGCACCGAGCATCGCCCCACACCTCTTGGACAACTCCGCAGCATTGGGCGGCTTCATCAATATCAAGTTCTTCATCTTGTTCTACCAGGGCGCGTTCACCAGCTTCCTTCGCTTGTTCCTGGTATTGTGTCACCGCTCTGGCTCTGGATGACCTCATCACGAACGACCGTATCTTCTGCTCCGCCTCTTTGTGTAAACCCGGACTAGATGCGATGTGTCCCTTTCACTTGCGAACCCCATCGTTCCCGCACGATGCGTCCCTGGCTCTCCGCCGTCCTGAACGCCGTGATCCCATCTACCGCGCATATGCAGCCTTGGGATTTGCGTTTTGCGCCTGGCACCTTCTAGAGCACAAGGGGGTGGACGTAAGCCTCTATCTCCACCATTGGCATGTCGGGCGGTACTCGTCAGCTTCAGGGCCTTTGGTTCTGCATGTTCGAGACCGTATGCCCGCAGCACCGCATGTATCATACCCACGTCGTAGCAATCACATGCCACCTCCTCCGACCGCCCATGGTTTTGTCAGATGCTTCAATTGAGCTAATTTCTTTGCCGGATGCTATTTCAAGACGGTCATACTCAGTGAGACGTCCGGAGCATCATGGTAGAGACGGAGAAGAGTTCGATGTGAACCTGCTGAACGGTCCTTTACAGTGCATGAAATGGTGGCGAAACGTGAATTCAACTCCGCGATGTTCTGACCGATTACACTGCCTGGGCAGGGAGGGAGGGGGAAGTTCAAAGCACTTACTCGGAAAGCAAAACGCGTTCAAAAGCCTGGGCTAGTCTCGCTCTATAAGTCGACTCTAAGGCATTCAGCCCTTTACTTACCCATTACATAAGGGTACTGACTAAGGGTCCAAAGCACCGAACTAATGCCATTGAACGGGCGTCTACCCCGTACCTTTCCGCTTTTGTCAACAGCAACTTGAAAGTGCACCATGAGGACGGCCTACCGCGGTGACTCTGGGCAGCTAAGCTAGCCCAAGTTGTGAGTCACAAGTGCCTCCTATCCCATTTCCACTTCTAACCTCAACTTGCGCCAGCACTATACATGGTGTCAAAGATTGGGTTCACTCAGGTGGCAGACCCATGGCACCTGCCTGCTCAATATTCTTCTCCGCGTGGATCCCTCCGCGAATCTAAATCGGGGGTCCCCTGTACGTGCTGCTCTATCACAGCCTGCACTTCTATTAGCCTGTCTCACTGCTCCTCCAGCGATGATCTCCAGGCCCGTTCGCGATTCGTCCAGAGACCAGAGTCGAGGCGGGCCCCCTGCATGCCATTAGGACATCCGCCTCCTCTTCTTCGCGCCTTGCCTGTGCGGTCTGTCATATTACATGATCTTCCCTCCGGGAATGAGACGCCAACGCCGCACGGTCCGCGCTGTAACCTTCGAGCAGCCCCATGACATGTTTACAGGGCGATGTGCTTGCTCTTCGTGCCGCTCTATTTCAGGAAGTTGCGGCTGAAACGATAGCAAACGCTATATCTCGACAGCTGCGATCGTAAACGGGAAGTTCTCAAGCGATCAGCGGCGCAGGGCAGGGCCGCACCCCGGTGGAGCGAGCATACGCTTGAGCTCGGACCAGCCGCAATACGGAAACGGTACCTATCACACGTCTCAAACGGGCTGAGCAATATCCTGAAATGCCTTAATGAATCATTCCCAAAAGTGAGCCTGGTGTGCAGATCCTACTGCTGGTCCTTCATTCCGCTGACAACGACTCACAGGCGTATATTGCTGAACAGCCTGACCCGGTGGCTAAATCCTTAGGGTACCTGAATCAACACCCTACCATCGTCTTGTCTTGCTCATGCACCCAACCTCTATGGCGGATTGTTGAATGCACATCTCCGATAAGTCAAACAGACTACCTAGAGTGGCTGAGAACCGCATTAGTAGGTTATACGTCGGACGTTCACGGACCCTGCGCGGTGATCCCCACGGGGCCTCGCGGACATTCACATATCTCCGCCCGCGCGATCCCCCTCCCCTCCCCTCTATGCGGACAGGAGGGTTCGGATAGCGCAGACAGGAATGACGTCTCGCGCTACATGGTACATATATGTCCGAGCGCATGCGGAGGCGAGAACACCCAGAGCAACCAACTGCCTCCTCGCCTAAGCCCCAGACATCGGCCACACCTGACACCCTGGCCGTACAATGGTGAGGCCCTCTGCCCCCTCTTCGCTTCCCGCACTGCATATGATATAGGTCACCCGCGCGGGAGTGGCGGCGATCGCGCAGCTCTCGGTCAGCAGGCAGCAGGGCAGGCGCACGGGCGCGGTGGGAGCTTGCTCGCCCAAATATCCGCGGCGGCGCCGCGGGTTACGTGGCCATGCGGGTTCCATGACGGGTTCCTCGTGTTTCCCGGGCAGCTGATACGCCGATTCGCCTACAATTGCAGTGCGCAAGTACGCGGCCGGCAGTACATATCGCACCCGAGGCTTATCGTCTGGATACGGGAAGACTGCAAATACTTCGCTCTGCCGCCCTGCGCGAGCACTATGGCCTTCGTCGCGGAACTGGGCTGGCAACTCCGTAACGCAGCTGGCTATTTTTCCGCGCCAAAACCTACGGCGCTCCTGCTCGGCCCTCTGCCAAAATCTCTCCAGGACTCCGGCTCGCTGACGCCAACAGTGCGTTATCAGATGCGGGCCACCTACGAACCCTCCGAAGGCCTTGCTTTCAAGCACGCACGCCCTGTTGCCCCTACGTCAGTCCCAATCCATCGCACCCCATTCGCTTGGAGTCGATCGTTACCTGACCAAGCCCTTATGCCGGTAGCTCGTGTTGAAGGGATTCGCACATTGGGCAATAAGCAATAGCCCAGGGCTGGGACTCGGAACTTCCAGGCGACAACCCATCTTCCTCGCCGTTCCTCGGTTCCCCGCGATATCGCTCGACCCCTACCAGAAGCGCAGCGGTCCGAAACTAGAGTGCACGTTTGCCGACCACGACTTGCAGGAGCTGCATTTGTTAAAGTGATCACCGCTTTGCTTTCGCCCACCCCTCACCCACGACGTGGCGCGCGATACGGCCTCGGCTGCCGGGGCGCGGGGGCATGCGCCTTGTATAAGTCAGTGCGCGAGAACCGGAGCGGTACGATCCCAGTGTCTCTCGCCCTCTGCTCCGTTTCGCATTCGCAACTCACCCCGCGCTTGCCTTTCCCCGACTCATGGCACAGATCAACTATCGTCTCAATCCCAAGCCATCCTACAGCGAGCGAATGACCGACACCCGTGCCGAGTTGCGCAAACTCATCAGGGAGGAGCTATGCGAGTCCAAGCACTCCTCCTACCCGCGTTGCCCGCGTGCTGACCCGTGCGCCAACAGGTCAAATCACTCAGGACGCCTCCGCGACAATGTCGTGGAGCCGTCGGTCGTACATGAAGAAAGTCGTTATGCGCTACCACGTCCGAATCGAGGGTTGGCCGCTTGCCGACGTCCCGTTTAGAAACCTTAGCAACGTACCCAACCTCGGCAGCCTAGAGATGCTCCTACACGGGTGGAAGGAGGGCTCCATTCGGTTCGTCCGTCTCGTGGACGAGCAGTACCACTCCATGCTCGCAGACCCGACCCCCTGGATCGGCCCTGCTGTAGGTGGAGCCCCGGAGGAGGAGGAGGAGACGGAGGATTGAACGAAATGCACGAAGCTTAGTCCCTAAATGTGTAACGCCCCCTGTACTGTGAGTGAAGCACTGCTCCACGCATGAACGTCGTGTGACTGACCCGCGCCCGCCCTTCGCAGCTTCCCCCGTCCCCACACCATGCACGGTATTGCTTTTCGGTCCCTGGCATCGAACGCCCTCTGCTCCCGGATCGACACCAGATCGCCCGGAGTCTGACAGCGTCGTTGCGGCTTTCATGCATCGGTATATACGCATCAGGCATGTAGTATCCACTCTCCAATTACTACGCGCCCTTCCGTTGGGCGAATCGCGGATGCCCCGTGGTCGCGGGTACATTGGGTGTCCGCTGCAGAGCTGAACACTATGCCACGTGCACTGACCTCATCTGACGTTCTCTTCTGAAGTTGTGCAGAGCACCCACACAAGACCCTCGTTGCCGATCACATCACAAACAAGTCGCTGAGGCGGGGGAGGATCTGAGTCTATACTTTGCTGCACGAACTTGGTGTATTTGGCTGTGAGTCGACAAGTACTAGCTGCATATTTATATATATGTGCGAGATTGGCTATCCTGCGGCATTGCAAGTCATCTCGTCGAGAAGTACATTTATGATCTATCATGCATCATGACCACGCTATGGCAGATATATGCCCACCTCTGCAGGCAGCCCGTGGCTTCGTCGTATGCTTAAACCTTCCTGAATTCTCCGGTGCCCACTGGTAGCCGTTTACCACACAGACATACTCCACTTAGGCTGGCACGCATGATAGAGGCACAAAGCGATAGGATTGAACAATACGCAATCTAACTGACTCTCAAACCTCACCCGCTTCGGCGCGTGCTTCGTACACGTACATGAAGGGATCTGAGGTCAACATGTCGACAGTGCCTGTTGCACCCTCCGGCGAGCGTACATGCATCGAACGCCGCACTTAGGTGTGGCCGACGATCGGGACCGGTGCATAGGGCTCCTCGAGGTACTTGATCTCCTCCTCCGTGAGCGTCACATCGAGAGCACCTGCCGCGCATCGCCCCAGTCAGCATTTCCTAGATAGGTGAGGCGCAATGCATTGTACTCACCCAGGATGTCCTCCAGGTTCTTCAGGCTCGTCGTCCCGATGATGGGCGCGGACACGCCCGGCTTCGCGAGGATCCAGGCGGTGGCGATCTGCGCCATACTCACGCCCTTCTTCTTGGACAGCTCCTCGACGCTGCGGACGTGTCAGCGCGACGGCGTGCCCGCGCGGCGGGGGACGGGACATACCGGTTGACGATCGCGGGGATCGCGGGGATGTTGAAGAGCGTGAGGTACCCGTCGGTCTTCGAACGAAGCGTCTCGGTCTTGAGCGGGTGCGTGAGCAGGCCGCGGCCGAGCGGCGACCACGGGATGGCGCCGACGCCGAAGTGCTATTCGAGTCGATTATGCAGTCAGTGTCTGCCAGTAGCATAGAGGGTGGAGTGGGTATGCGTACCTGGAGGGTAGGGATCATCTCGCGCTCCTCCTCACGGTAGATCAGGCTGTAGTGGTTCTGCATCGAGATGAAAGGCGTGAGGTTGTGCGTGATCGCGTAGTCTGTCGCGGACGGTGAGCGATCTGCCCCACGGGTGCATGCGGTGATTGCTTACTCTGCATCATGTGGACTGTTGCTCGGGGTCAGCGCGAAGCACCAGCGGCGAGGATGGAGTGCGCGGACTCACACTGATAGGCGTAGCAGGAGCTCATGCCAATGTAACGCACGTAGCCGGCCTTGACGACATCGTGGAGAGCTTGCATCTGCATCAAGGGCACAGAATTAGCAGGTCTCTAAGCAGGTCGGAGTACTGGACACGTACCGTCTCCTCAATCGGAGTATCGTAGTCAAAGCGGTGGCCTGTGCAGTCCGATCGTCACGTTCTTTCCCAAATGAGGGTATGCGTCGCGACTCACACTGCAGCACATCAATGTACTCGAGCTGCAGCTCCTTCAGGCTCTCCTTCACGGAATCAAAAATGTGCTACGGATGCATTTTGTCAGCGGTCGAAGCTACTCTCAAGGACGCACTGCATTCACCTTGCGGCTCAACCCCTTCTGGTTGATTATACCATGCTCTTGCGCTTCCGCGTCGTCACCGCGCCAGAGGACCGTACTGACGTCCTTCGGCTTCGGGAAGTACAGCTACACGCAAAATTAGGTGTTAGGAGTGCATAGACACATTAGGAATACAGATATAGATAGCAGACCTTAGTCATGATGACAAGCTCTTCACGCGGGAGGTTGAACTCCCTGATCGCCTTGCCGATGATGGCCTCGGACCGTCCGTTGGAGTACAGCTGTAGCAGGAAACCCGTTAAAATGTTGGGCCGGCTCTGAGCTGCAGGGTCATAGGCGGTACTCACGTTCGCGGTGTCGAAGGTCGTGATGCCGTGGTCATACCTGGAATTTCGATACCATAAAATCAGCCATTGGGTCTAAGGCGGCGCTTGGTAACCAACGTACGCGAACTTGATGTGCTTCAAGCCCTCCTCCTCACCGAGCACCCACTCCTGCCACTCCGGGCTTCCGTAGGACATGCATCCGAGGATGATCTTCGAGATTTTAAGGCCAGACTTGCCGAGGCGCACTGTCCGCGGTCGCAGTAAGTAATGCAAAGTAGTGGTATACGGTGTTGAGATTGCTCACCGTATTGCATCTTGTTCGTGGTCTTATCAGTAGACATGTTTGATGGAGGAGGTATTCGGTCTATGTGGAGGCTTGGGTTCGATATGGAAGAACTGGGATGTTGCTGTTGTCCTTGTCCGCCGCAACGCACGTCCTATATATGCGCCGCGCCATGTTCGCGCCGTTCCCCAAATAGCCAGGCTGCCTGTAGATCAGGTGTCTGCTGAGGTTAGCAGGTTGGGTGCTGTTGTTCGACGCCGATCCCTACGCCGCCCGCGGACGACACATCGGACGAGCGCCAGACGGGATAGGGCGGCAACGAGCGGGGTAAAGCCGCCCGTCCGCTTCTGATTTCGTGTTGCCGCACCTGCGTGGTGCTGCGTGGCCGATCGGCGAGGGAGTGCGATGGCTGATAAGTACGTGAAACCGAAGGACATAGCAGCTATCGGCGGCGTTCATGCTATTACTGGGACTTGCACCTCTATCAGGCTTGGAGTCCGAGGCCGACAGGAGGTTGTTTGGGCACCTCTGCACTGCTATGGGTGCGTAGTGACCATCGCCATCTTCGAGACAAACACAGCTATGTTCCAGGTAGGAGATTGCCGAAAGCCCCGATTTGCAAGAAAGAGAGAGTAAACAAGAGAGGCGCCGTCTCGGTCGGGCTCTGCCATTGGCTGACCTCGGCCCTACACGTGCCCGAATCTATAGTCACTGTCAATACTGTATTGCGATCGTACAGGTCTCGCATCCTAGCCACGTACAAGGTAAATTTCTGAATGGCTTATGCATAACCTCTCGGAGACCCGGGTTTACCAAAGCGAAGCGTCAGCAAGCCGCTGCCCATACGATCGCACATCGCCAAAGCACCTCAGAGAACCACCACGACCTTCTCGCCGCTCATCTTCCCCTCTTCTAGGAACTTCAACCCTTCCGAGATCGCAGCGAGCCCGCCCGGCAAGAGCTTGACCGGGTTCGGCTTGAGACGACCCTGCTCAACGAGCCGTTGGATCATGGTCACGGACGTAATCATCTGCGCTGTGTCCTCTGGCGACACTGGGAAGTGCGCACCCGGTTTGCTAAAGGCCCGCCCGAGCCCGGTGCATACAAGGGTAACTGCGTAAAGTTCGGGAGATCAGCTGGGTTCCAGAAATGTCCACACCTTCACGATGCCTACAGGAGAGAGCGACGTCCTCCCGCACCCTTGTCTTGTTCGCCCAGAGTAGGGTGATGAGCTTGCCCCCGGCAGGCCCGAAGACCTTCTGCGAGAGTTCCTGCGTCTCGGGAAGGCCGATCGCGTCGAGCCCATACTGGATCGAGTTGCCGGTAGCGGCCTTGATCTTGTCCACGACGTCGACGTCATGGTAGTCAAAGACAGCCGTCGCGCCCAAGGACTTCAACAGATCGAAGTTGCGCGGGGAGGACGTGGTGACGACCTTGAAACCTGAGGCGCGAGCGAACTGGACGGCATATTGACCGCACGATGCTGCGGAAGGTTAGCAGGGTCAATATCTGAGATAAATGGCACTTACAACTTCCGCCATACACGAAGATCCATTCGTCCTTCTCGAAGGAGAATGCACCTGGTTCCGGGAGCTCAAGCCTGCCCTTGTGGTAAAACGCCTGGGCGATCGTGCAAGTCCTGTTTCAGCGTTAGCACAGTCCCGTTTCCATTCGCGACACTGCTTGACTTGCCCAATGCTTATAGTCGCAGCCTCTTCAAAGGACAGGCTCTCCGGGATCAGCCAGACGAGATCCGCCGTACTCTTCGCATACTCTGCAAATGCGCCGTGTTCCGCATTGTTGCCGCCGTGCACGAATGCCGCGACGCGTTCACCAACCTTACGTGTCGCAACATTCTTGCCGACTTGCACTATCACTCCGGCCAAGTCGCAGCCGAGGACTGTTCCTGCGGTTGGGGTGAACTCGAGGGCTACATATCAAGATTAACGAGTGTGAGACTACAAGTCGCGATATCAACGTTCTACACTTACCTCGCAGGTCTGGAGGGCCGAGCGCGACGGCGATGACCCGGATGAGGACTTCGTCCTCATATATAACTGGAATTGGATGATCTTGAACGGAGGCTGTCTTGTACTGTAAATCACGGTCAGCGCGACGTAGATGACGCCAAATATTGCGGACTTACGGAAAGAACTACAAGTGCCTTCATAGACTTCGGTAGTACAGTGGGGTCAGACATCGCTAATAGAAGTCAATGGCCTTCAGAGGTGGGCCTGCGCTCTGTAGTCCTGTAGATATGGCTTATATATGTATCGCGCACTGGGAGCGCTCTATGCAGCTCAGAAGTTTCGACAAGACAATGGGGTTGGGGATCATCTGTCGTGCGAGTTCCCAGTTGGGCGTCCTTTGGGCATGCGGAGGGATACGGAGCCTTGCTGCCGCTCAGAAGTGGCCTCATTTCTGTCCCTCTGGGGAGACCCTCAGTCAATGGAACCTCTGGTAACGTGCATCTACCGTGCATGCTGACTACGCCCCCAAGCAGGGAGCGTGCAATTCATTTACGAGTGTATAACGGACACACGGTGCATCTGTCATCCGTTCAGTGAAGTTGACTCGATGCACCGTGGCACGCGGCGCACTGACAAGGGGGCGGCAACTCACCGTCATAGTGCAGCGTAATCTGGCGCTGAGCGGGGCCGTAGGCCAATCAGTGCCCTTCAGCCAGGGGAAGCGTGTCGGGCAGGTCCGCGAGAGAGGTCTATCACAAGATGCCCCTGCGAGCAGCTGGGTTGCAAGTTGGCCCGAGAGCATGACGAGGATACGTACCGCCCCGGCGACTCGAGCGCTATGACCGTAGTAATTGCTCTCGCCCTGGGCCCGTGTTCATTGGATGAATAGTGACCGCATACATACCGCCAGATACGAGGCGCATAGCATTCCGTGTTCCCCGTACACAGCTAATAGCGTCGACGTTGTGGTAGGAGCGAAGAGAAAAGTGAACTCACGCTGCGCCACAACGTTGATACTGAACGCCTCGGCAAGCGCCGGTCCAGGCTTGACTGGGCCGCCGGCGCCCGTTGGCATTGAAACTCGAAATTCGATGGTCGGCGTAGCGCTTGGACCTCAGAAAGTATAATAACCCTGATTGAGCGGGCTTGTAGTACATATATTGCAAGTTGTTCTCTTATCGTTCCCTTTACCTACCGCCATATGCATGCACGCTGCGGGAAACAACTTAGGGCATGCCAGCGGCCATAGCAGGTGCCCAAGTTCCACGTTTCTGGGAGTATACGTATAAAGAAACAGCCACAATCGATTGGTCGATCACAAGCGCATAGTAGTAAGTACATCGGCAAGTCGGCATATCGCAGCCGAACACCTGAGCCACAGTCCCGAATCATTCTCGTCCATGTCTGCCGTGAGGACCTTCTCCGGCGGAGACATCAGCGCTCCCTCCCGGACCCGTACTCGCTTAGAGGATGACCGGGACACAGCCGATGGAAACCAGGCCTCCCTGTGTGAGGGACTACATGTGAGCAGACACCGATGTCGAGTACGAAGAGCAGCACGTACGAAGCTGTTGTTCTCGCAGCACACGGCGTTGGCGCTGCATGCACCGCCGCCAGCGCCGATGACGCTGATCGGAGAGCAGCCAAGGCCCAAGAGGACGTTGACTCCCTGCACGACGACGCCGAGAGAATCCAAGAGCGCGACACCGTCGGGAGAGGCGGCCTATGGAGAAAGACAGCTGGGTTAGGATCGGTGCGTGCGCTGCTGCGAACGGGGCGACTTACGTCCTCAGTGGAGCTGCAGCACTGAATTGCGCCGGTAGAGCACGAACCACCGGTCGGCGCCGGCGGAGCAACCGAGACCGTCGTGGTGGGGGTAGCCCATCGCTTCTCGTTGGGGGTGGCGACAGCAAGGAGTGCAAGGGAAGCGAAGGTGAGCGTGGTTGACAGACTGGCGAACATGTTTTCGATAGGTATGCTGGGGAGCGGAGAGGGCTGGTAGAGGAGTTGAGGGCGGTTGAGATTGGGAGCTGTAGAGTGATACTACTGCTTGGAGAGAAGAGCAACAAGCAGGAGAGCCTTTATACCCTGAGGGCAGCAGTCACCTGTGCTAGACGTGCAAGTCCATGACGGGAGGTGACGCGTTCGTAGTTCCCCCGGAGCGCCTGGTCCTGGGCAACGCCAATCTCCCGTTTGTTTTGACGTGCGAGTTGGAGTGACTTGCGGGCGACGAAAGGCCGTGCGTGAGCCGCAATAGCGGCACAATTGGGGGAGAAGAGTGATCATGCGGACGAGCATACATTTCGAGGGTGTTGAGTGCAGTCGAGGTCCTCGCGGGGGCCACCCCTAGCTGGAATGGCGCTTGCTCTCGCAAAGGACCTAAGGGCACATTTCTAGGGGGCGGGAGTCCCGCGCAAAGGCCGTGCAATGTCCCCTCGCGCTCACGCGGTCGAATGCCTCCTGTTCGAAATCTTCTGTAGATTGCTGGCTACTGGACCGTTTGTGAGCGTTACGACCATAGACGTGTTTCTTGAATTTAATCACGGTAGGTACGACTTCTGTGATGAACGTTACACATAACAGGACGTTGGCTGGTGCGTGCAACTCCACGATGTGTGCCCACTCACTTCGAGTGTGGAGGGGTGCGGAAGGCGCGCCCGTTGCTTGGGGTCTTGTTTGTTGTGGGTCGAGAGTTGCCGTATTGAGGGCGCTGTTCAAGCCGTGTACTATAACATGCCGGTCAGCAATATACCAGGGGCAGAGTGAGTATGCGAGTAAGGAGACGCCGTGGAGTCGGTAGACGACTGGTACCGTCGAGCCTGCGGGGCAGTGGCTGGGCTGGGCCGGCTGCCCAAAACGGATCGTGAGTAAGTACAGAACGTCTTCCCAGTCACTGACGTACTGCGTACTCCTCTTCCACTACCAATACTACTGCCAGTGCCGGCCCCAGCCTCCTGGACCCCGGCCCAGGCTGACCACTCCTAGTCATGCGACGTCTCTTCATTCCAATTACGAATACTCTTGTTCGCTCCAGCCGACAGCCATCGCAGGACAACTTTCCAAGCGGACAGAACTCTCACACTGGCATCCGCTTCCAGTTTGACGCAGACGTGGTTAGACACCGACGAGAAACACTCCGCAGGAACAAGGCGCACGTTGGCCATTCTGCCACTGGCGCTGCATGGCGAGCGGATTCTTGTGCCCCGTCATGCTTCGCTCGGTGCGACGTCTCGTCCGCTGTATGTCCCCTCGACAGCCTTTTCTGACCAGCGCTAGAACAAGTCGTCCATCTTCTGCGCGGCGTCCCCAGAGGACCGGTGGTGCACTGCCCTTGCACCTTTTAGGCCTGAACTGCTGTCAACTTTGTTCTGTACTCCACGCTTGTCACCGACAGTTCAAGAAGGACTGCGGGATGTCGTATACGACGCAGGAGGTATCCGCCTTTCCAAGTCGCGCGATAGTACAGCCTCCCGCTCATGATCAGCGACATGACCGTCCTCGAGTCGTCCGTGGAGCGCGGTCGAAGCGCGCCTTCGCCTTGGGCGGGCTGTATATCTAGATGCCCTTGCCACTCGGTCTGCGTTTGTATGGAGGTCATGGGGGAGATCTGTCATCCGACACCTCGTCCCGAGTCAGTATAGTTCGAGAAACGCGGTACGAAAGGCCGCTCACTCACCGTCATTGTAGAGCGTGATCTTGCAACGTGCGGGTCCGTGTGCCAATCGCTTACGTCCAACCATGGGAAGCATTCGAGTCGGAAGGGCCCGCGAGAGGCAGAGGGCAGACCCGGAATCGGATTGCGAGACGCAGCCTGAGGAGAACAGGGCACAAGTGGGGCCGACATTATAAGCTGAATACTACACCCGGCGCGTCCTGAGAGCGACCTGATCATACCCCCCTAGGCTCAGGTAAGTAGTAGGTTCGTGCTGCCTAGATATGCGAAGCGCCGGTCTGCTTCGTAGGTAGTGTCAGTAGATGCATTCGCAAGACGCTGCTGCGTGATGTCATTCCATAGAGTTGGCAGTGGGCGTGCTCACTAGAATTATACAGATACAATGAGAAATTATGCTGCCAGAGTGTTCCTGCGTTGCCTCGGAAATAATATCGTGGTACAGAGGAATATGGGCACAACCCTGGGCTGCTGGGTACTTATCTGCGTGCTGGCTCGCGATTTGTGCTGATTTTCTATTTTTAGCATTACCTTACTCGGTATTTACATTAAATAGTTGGTCCGCGCGGAAACAAATCGAAACGTTCCTCCTCCTCCTCCTCCTCCTCAGCAGAGGCTCGCGAGTGGCGATCTCGCGAACACCTCGGCAAACGCCGGCTGGCAGGCGCTCGCTCCCGCCGAAACTTGTGCTTTCAACACTTTCAACCGAGAACATTGTCTCAATGAGTATTTATATCAGAACGCATGCCCACGCAAATATCTTCGCATATCAGGCCTTATAATCTGGGAGATAATCACATTTGACCGGTCGAAGTTCACAGCACAAGGCACACTGGCATATTGGCATATCGCAGCCGAACACAAAGCCACAGTAACAAATCATTCTCGTCTACTATATCCCCCATCCAGAACCTTCTTCTGGAACATAGATGCTCTCTCCCTGTCCTGCGCTCGCTCAGAGGATGACCGGGACACAGCCGATGGAGATCAGGCCACCCTATACCAATCATAAGTGAGCAGATGCCTTCTAGCGAGGCGCAAAGAGCAGCCCTTACGACGCTGTTGTTCTCGCAGCACACTGCGTTGGCAGAGCAGGCGCCGCCCCCCGCACCGATGACGGTGATAGGCGAGCAGCCCAGGCCCAAAAGGACGTCAACCCCCTCCACGACGATTCCGAGGAGGCCCAAAAGCGCGGTGCCCGAGGCAGAGCTGGCCTATGTAGGAGGACTGGGTTAGGATCGCTGCACACACTACTATGGACGGAGCAGCTTACACTCTCAGTGGATTCGCAGCATTGGATGGGGCCGGTGGAGCAAGAATCGCCGGTGGGCGACGCCGCCGGCGCGGTGACCGTGACCGTCTTGGTCGTGGCTGGGGCCGAGGTCGGGGTGTTCCATCGCTTCCCGTTGGGGGTGGCGACAGCAAGGAGTGCGAGGGAGGCGAACGTGAACGTGATGGACAGTTTGGCGAACATGGTTGCGAGAGGTGTGCGGGAGAGAGCTGGGAAGGCTTGGGAAGTTGGAGGGGGCTGAGATGTGAGCTGGAGAGTGATCCTGCTGCTGGGGAAAAAGAGCAGCGAGCATGAGAGGTTTTATACCCCTGCAGACGGCGTTTACTTGTGTCGGGTATGCACGTCCATGACGGTGGGTGACGCGTTATTGGCTGCCGGAGCGCCAACCTCTGGACGAGGCCAATCTTCCGGGAATTTCGATATGGGAGGAGCGAATATACGCAGGCATCGAGAGGCCGTCTTGTGGCCGCAGTAGCTGCACAAGTGGAGGGAGGAAAACGATCATGCGGGCAGGCAGGCATTTCGTGAGCGTCGAGTGCAGCGCTGAGCCTCCGGCGGTGCCCCTGACCGATGTTCTTCTCGAAACGGACCTATCGCTGGAAGCGGGGACCTCGCGCAAAATCCGCGCAAAGTCCTCCGTGTTCACGCGCATGAACGCCTTACGCGTTCGAAGGCTGCCGTCGCAAATTCGAGACATGGCTCTGATACTCGTCATAGTATGATGCTGCGTCAATAGTCGATGTTGACATGCATTTGTCCTGCAAAATATTGGGATGACGTTGAACAATCAAATAGTCGGACGGTGGTTTCACAGACATACCGTAACAAAGAGGCGCAAAAAAGGCTCTTGCTGATCATTACCGAGATATTACCAGTTCATCAAGGGCCATCTGACCGTTGTTGGTATGCACAGCTGAAAATAGTTGAGGGGTAGAGGATGCGGATATGAATTCAGGGGTGACAGCAGGAGGTGAAGCCCGTGGCCGGTACCGTCGAGGCTAGCGCTAGACAGCGGCTGGACATCGGCATCGTCCGAGAACACCTTTCCAGCCGCTGGTGCTACGTTGTAGTACGTACTCGTCTTCCAGGATACGGCCTGTTATGCGGATACCCTTCACTCGGAAATTGTATACTCGTTGACTTAGTATGCCGATGCATCGCCACTAGCAGGAGCAACTGGGCAGGAGCGTGAATATTGCCCTCAATGCCTTTCCGCAAAGGTAATCTACCGCACTGCGGCGATGCTCATGACGCGTGTGTTCGAGACGCACCAAGGTGATTGGCCGCTTGACATAACATCTTGTCCGCTGTATGTCCTCTTGACAGTTGTTCTGACTAGCGCTGAAACAGGCCGTGCGCCCCGTGCGGTGCTTCCAGAGGACCGAGAGCCGAGAGCCTGTACGTCCGCCAGTACGTGGTCATAGTGAGGTTCGCTCGGACTCCACGCTTGTCGCCGGAAGTTAACGAAGGCCATGACTGAATGTTGTACACGTCAGAGGTAATCGTTGTTCCGAGCTGCGCGATGGTGTAGACAATACATACCTGGCGCCGAAAGACGTGACTGTCGTCGTATGTTCCGTGGAGCGCGGCCAATCGTGTCTGCATTCGCCCGAGTCTCCCGTTGTACCTCAGGCGGCCTTTGCTCATCGCAGACCACTATGGTCATAGATATTGGCCCACCAGATCCGCCCGTCGGTGTTCGAAGCTCTTTGGTACGCGCAGCGCGTCGTGTTCATCATCGTTGTGCCTCACCGGTGACTGCTGTAAGGTTACGTTGCACAGATCTGTTACAGTAAGCTCCACGCATGTAGCCTATATGAGCTATTCTGCCAGCTACACTTCAGGCGCACATAATTTCCCGGGTCATTCAATCTTCGTCGTCCTGATCTGCGCTCGGCCTTCCAAAATGTTTTTCGAATATCATCACCTGACAGATTATAGTTATATGTGTGCTCACATCCATCGTCTGCCTAGGGGAGACGTGGAAGTACACAGGTGTTGCGCGCAAATGGGATCTTGTCCTTGCCGAGCGCGCTTTGATGTGGTACCCTGTGTTCAGTACTATCACGATGAGACAAGTAAATGCAGCGGGGCGCACTCATATCAAACTTGTGGTGGGTACGCACGAGAAAGTCATGATGTCGGAAGTCTATTTCGGACATAGGGTTGATCGGTATATGATAGGAGTACTTATGTAGCTGGCTTCAATAGACTAGAAGGACTGAGGCGTATGTCGTAGTTGCCTAGGACCAAGGAAATTCTAGGTGATAGTCTGTTGATAGTGTAAGTCGTAGCGAGAGACCGTTTAGTCCTCCTGGAGGTTGGGGATGAACATTGGAGCGCCGTTGATGATGGTCCCGTCGTAATAGAACTCGCTGATATGGCTACGTTTGATTGAAGAATCTCCGTTAGTATGGAGACATAGTGATACAGGCAGCGGTCGCATACCATTCGTTGAGCGTGTCGCGCAAAGTGTGGAATCGAGCGTACACATCGTCTTCAGACAGTCCATTCGAGCTGAATGTGCAGTTGAGGTGATCCACGAGCTGGCTTTGCTCATAATTGGTCAGGGGAAGATCCAGACTTAAAGACAGAGAAGATACGTTAGTAACCCCCATCGTGCTCGGCAGTCATGATGGCGGACGTACTCAGCGTGAATCGCGGTCACAACATCGAGCACAGTCACTCCAGTGTGCCTCTTAACATGCTCCCGTCTGAACTCGTGTCCACCCATCTCCCCAACACAGATCCCGTCTACGGGAATGTCGGTGGCGAAGCTCCGCTGTACGAGCAGGTGGTCGTACAGGAGGGCACTTCCGCTGTACGCTTCTTCTGCTTCGGTCAGCGGGCGGAGCTGAGCGTCCTCCCGCACGCCGTAGTATCCGCCCCAGGGCCGGTCGCGGAATTCGATGCTAGCGAGCACGCGGTGCGGGATAAGGTGCGGGGGGCGGTCGTCCTTCTCGTTGTCGCTCTTGTTGTCGACGTCCATATTTGCGCCTGTGGCGGCGTCTTCAGTCTCTGAGTCGGAGGCGGTGTACAAGTCTTCTTTCCAGTCGGAGAACACAGTGAGGGGCTTGAACCAGTCCGCTACACGTTCCATGCGCCGACCTATAGTAGCTAAGTACACATCTCGCGACAGGGACTGTACGACACTCACTGTTATAATTGAGCAGCCCTTCCCCGCACCGCGGGTGCTTGCAAAACCCCTCCTTCTCGACGAGCTCCAGAGCAATGCCGCGCCAGCAATGCGGATGCGCGAGGTCATCCTTGTCTAGCGCGCCGATGCCGCTGTGCCAGCACACGCGCCGCCAGAAATCGTCGTCGTTCTTCTCCGAGTCGTACATCGCGGCGATGCGAGGGTGCGTCTTGTAGAAGCACACATGGGTGCGTATGTCGCCGAGTGGGATGGTATTCCTGATGACCAGAAATATCTCGAGCGGGAAGGGGCGTTGGAACGGCTTGCTTGGGATCAAGGGCCGCGCGATTGACATTGTAAGTTCAGAAGTCAGCAGCTTGCGATGGGGGACGCGAGAGAGAGGAGGTGTGGAGAACACGAGCAGAACGCTGGGTCGCGGTCGCGGTCAAGGCGCCGAGACCGCGTATACGCTTCGAGCTGGGTCAGGTGATCGTATTGACGGATGGGCGTCTCAGCGCCTGCCTAGGCGCCAGCCATGCTGAGCCAAGGTCGACAAATGCTTCAGAATAAATTGAAAGTCGCAACACATAGGAGTATTATCAGCTAGATCCTACAGCAACCGAATATTCCGGACCTAGAAATTTCCTCTCGACAGTTGTTCTGACCAGCGCCAGAACATGTTGTGCGCCTCGTGAGCGGAAGCATCAGGAACGAGCTCTGGCTCCATCGCGTCTGTGCGGTGATGTGCGGAGCCACGGAGCCACGGAGATTTCCCAGGATGTGCGGAGACGCCCGGCTCCGCCCATGACCGGACAGAGAACGCTGTCTCCATCTGGAGATGCTGTCTCCGTCCAGCACCGCACGGAGCATGGGCGCGGGAGGAAACTCCTGAATAATGCACAAAAGTCGAGGCAATAAATATCAACAAGTGAGCGTATTTGCATACCACTGTGACCCCCATACGAAAACATGCGTCCCCGACAGCGAGTTTTCGACGTGTAGGTTAGTAGCCCGCCAGGCTAGTCTCCGGACGGAGACACGCTCTCTGGATGGAGACAGCGCCTCTAGGCGGCGGCTACCGGACACCGCGGGCAAAGTTCGATGTTTTGGTCGAAAACATGATGAAAACATTGAAAGACCTGAAATAATCTTTTCAGTATATTCGGCCTCGTAACTTGAGGCAAACATTAGATAGACATGCAAAATGATAACACTGTGCCTTCAAAAATTCTCTTTGAAAAACACGGGAAAGACATAAATGATGTCATTACAATGTTTTCAGTCACGAACACAGGAAGACCATTGTAAAACCAATTTGAAAGTGTTCCCAGTGGTTTTGCGGTAAGCTTTTGAAAGACATTTTCGATGTATTCCCGGTGGCCGGTGTCAAAACACCAGGAAAACATCGTGAACAATGATAAATGGTATTCTGATGTCATGGCCATGGTCCACAACGG